CTATTTTGCATATTTCATAAATTATGCATATCTTTGTAAAAGGTGTGAAAATGAGCCAAAAACAACCAAAACCATGGGCTATAGTCCATGCGTTTTGCTCAAAAATGTCCAAAAATGACCTTTTTTGCATTCTTCATAAATTATACATATCTTGCTTGAAATAAAACTGGATAAAAACATATTTGTATTGTGTATTCTTGTGTATTCCTTGTTGTGTCATAATTAAACTGTTCTGGCTCAGTGATAACGACTATTAGTATCTAAATAGTGACTATTTGTTAGTAACTAGTTTGATTCTATTTCACAGTTCAAATATTTTTGCTCTACTCATTCATCATGTCATTAATATATATTTATATTATATGATGTACTTAATATTCTGGCTTTTAGCAATATGGTTAATAATTTTGCTTTTAGACTTGCTGACCATCTATCATTATACGAGTCCATATATTTACCACCAGATTGTGGTGTCACAATTCTCAAGAGGGCAATTTTAAGTTAAATTTTTCCTGTCAATTTCCCTCATTTCTATTTCTGTTGCCTTTCTGTTCAGACCTTGTGTCGTATGGAATGAATAGACGAGAACCCTTGCCTGCTGATAGTACATAATGTAATTTATCTAATTTATCTTCATCATGGTTTACACAAGTTTTTCAGCAAATTGAATGTATTCCAAATAGTGTGGGAAAAGATACAAGTATGCCCAATACTTTATTGGATATTTTCTCTTCTCTGTTCAACTTTCTGATGATATTAAATAGTGTATTTTTTCCTTTTTTTGGGAATCAGTCAAGTTCATTTGTCAGGGTCCAACTTTGATCTGATCTCTTTTATTGATAATTTCTTCTCCTCAACATTCTTTTCAAGTTCCACAAGATTTTTTTCCTGAAGGAGAAGAAAATTGAAGTTGAACAAAATTTATTCTATAGATTGTGACATCTAGGAGGGTGGGGGGATGTTAGTCAGGCCCAACATCCTAATTTCAGCCAGACTTTCGGTAAATACACCTTGTTTTGATAATAATGTAATGATAAAAGGGTAAATTATACACTTTGAAAAGATGAAAAAACTGACGTTTCGGACACTAGTCCTTTGTCAAAGTAAAAGAGATAGAGGTGGTAGAAAGGAGTATTTATATAATGAGAAAAAGACAAAAGAAACCAATGAGAACACACTAGTTTTTATCTAGTTATCTCTTCTTGTTTTTCTAGGGCAAATATAACAGAAAAAAGGATGGGTTCTTGTTTCCAATCTGGCTCTATTGCGGTTTTCGATAGTCTGCGAACTTGGTAATTACAAGCTGCATGCTGAAATTAGATTTTTCACTTCTGTCAATCAAAAAGAATCAGTCGGTACCTTCTTTTCAATTATTAGTTGATTTTTAAGGGAGGAAAACTGTAGAAAAACTCTCCAAACACAGGAGTGAATAAACTCTACACACTACACTAAGCCCAGCAGACATCAAACCTGGTGAGAGCTGAGCATTATCATCACATGCCACCCATGCTTTCCTATCCTGGGGATGAAATCTTTGGATAGGACAGGATATTCTGTTGCTCATTACAAGCTGAGTTGACCTTCAGAACGAACTCAAGGTCAACCAATTGCCCTATTTCACTATGACATCACATCAAAACAATCTATTGTTTAAACACAAAGGATCATGGTCGTCGGAGGGGTCAAATCAACGCAAATTCACCGAAAATTGTTCTAAAACCCGTATCAATCCAAGAAGAGAAGTAAAATAGCCAGCAAACGCTCAGAATATTTTTTAGTACATATTAACACATATTATATCTGAAAACCAGGCCATTTTAGATTAAACTGTTTCTCTAGGAGCAAATTTTGTTGAATTTTCTATTGGATTTTGCGATTCTATCCCCCACATAAACAAGCAGTGACGTCATAGTGAAATAGGGCAATTAGAATTGAGGATATTTCAATGTTGCATTTTGATTAGCATAATCCTAGGCACATTCATTGATATCAGCACATATCTGACTTTGAAATAAAAGCTTTTGACTCTGTATTATTCAAGACGGCTTGTCATCTGAGTTTGTCTTTGACAAGGGTTGTTATGGAGGGTGAAACTAGTTTATTGGTGAAAATTATTCTTGGTTTGCAATAAATCCCAAGAGAGCACAATAACCCTGGGGGGGCGGGGGGGGGGTACTACCACCCCAACTTGGGTAGGGGTGTGCCGCCAGAACCTTGAAACCCTGACCCTATCCCAGAACTAAAATTTTGATTTTACATGCCCTACCCCAGACTAAAACTAAGAATTGTACACCCTATCCCAGACTAAAAGACGGAAAATACGGTTTTACAATCGATTGCAA